GATACCCCAAAGAATGTGGCGAAGAAACTCTTAAAGTCTTCAACTGTTTTTGTCGTATAATGACCGAACGCTTTCTCAAGCATGTCATCAATTGATCTCCTGTCCGCCTTGTCTCGTAGTTAATTTGTTACAAACACCGTGTCTCTAAAATATTAGACCGTGATATAAAAAATTGATCTCGGAAATATTTTCTTTTGGCTGAACGGATAAGCGCGTTTCTGCATTCAACTGGGCATTCGTTGGAGAACGCCGACACTGGACCCAAAGAGCCTCTTTAGAATTTATAGCGGTCAAAACGTCCCCTGTTAACCATGAGATATTTTATTATTAATTAATAATGATAATAATAATATATGTGATTTTAAAACGTACACTAGTGCAGCACATATTTCCGTTACTCAAATATTTATTTTAGATGAATGGCGTTTTTCTAAACGACACAGGTTTTATATCACGATTCAAAATACGTATTTGCTCAGAGGGATTTTACAACGATTATTAATATCATGCTACATTGGTACGAAGTAATCTCTAAATAATATATATATATATATATATATATATATATATATATATATATATATATATATATATATATATATATATATGCAATGTGACGATAGAAAACAAACCAGGAGGATTTTATTCGACGTTTCGACCTGAGGCAGGTCTTCGTCAGGAATAGGGTTACAAGAAAAATGTCGTTCTATTTATACAGTTTTCAGAAGGGAGAGAGTACGCATACAACGAAAGTGCATAGGGAGAACAGATAAGAAGTACACCACTTAGAATCTCACACAAAAGGAGATAAGGGATGAGCGCTAAGTCGGAAACAACCGCACAAAGTAAAAAAAAAAATAAAAAGGCGGGGACGAAGGTAGGTGACTAACCAAATGACACTTCGCGATTTTTTCCCCTTCTTTCTTTTTTGCGCGCACAAAACACAAAGTGAGGGACGAAATCTAAGGCGGGGGAAGCCGCACATGGAGGTCGCCGAATACATAAGGTGACACATCAAAAGTGGTAGGAACTACGGAAATACAGGATGTACGGGAACTAAACAACACAACAAAAGAACGAAAACGCAATGTCCAGTTCTAGCCCTAAACTCAGTACCACGAAATTCTAGATTCAAATGGTATATTGTTTATGGTCGTTATACTATTTATTGGCGAGCGCCTCAATCGATGCAAGTGTTCCTGGGCTTCTATTTATTCCTTCCCTTATTGTGTTAAATCGGTATATAAGATATGACTCGCGCTGCTCGCGCTCCCGATTTGATTTGAATCCAGACTCTAAAAGTGTAACAGATAATTTATCGAATGTGTGGTTCTGGAGGGTGAGATGTTTTGAAATTGGCAGGCTCGGCAGGGTTTTTGCGTGTGATCTGTGATTGTTGAAACGTAGCCTGAACGCTGTCTCGGTCTGTCCTATATATTGTTTTTTGCACACCTCACACTGTATCAGATATCTGATATCAGATATCTCAATCTCGGCCACTTTGCGCTCAAACACCACATTATCGCAACAAGAAGCTGACGCATTAACTGACTTTAGGAGAAAGAAACGCACAGAACTTTAAACTAGTAAGCTACGTAAACTTAAACGAGACAAGGTTCCAAACTTAGGTTTAGCTCTTCCTTCGATGCCAAGTCAAAATAGTGCCAATACTGAGACATCCACCTCTGTGAGAACTAGCCCACAAGGCGACACCCTTGATACCGAGAAGCTAGACGACATCGCCATCGTAAACCTGTCGGGCATCTCCATAACCGCGGATGAAGAAAGCCTTCTATCAAAGGGTCTTAATTTCTGCCCGGCAACCGGTCATTTCGACGAATTTCAAATCCTTAAAGACCTGGACAACTTTGCCAGATGCCTACGGCTACGCGAGTACTTTCTCGATAAACCATCCGTACCCCAGAAACCGCATTCGCGACCTACGAGTGATTGGACGCCTCGCACTCAGCGTGACAATTGTCTGGACTTATATATAGCTGCCGTACAACGGGATATTTTGCGGGAATATCGCAGTCACGGGAAAAATAGGAACAACTTAACGAGATCTCAGAAAGAATCCCTAAAATTACTAGCGGCTAGGAGTGATATTATAATAAAACCCGCAGATAAAGGTGGGACAATTGTCATTCTTAAAAAAGACGACTACATCCGGGAAGGCCACCGCCAACTAACCGGTCGAAAGTTCTACGAGCCATTAACGGGCGACCCTACGGCAGAACACACGCGAGTCGCAATATTGGCACTAAAGGATCTTCTATAACAAGGGAAAATAACTACAAATGAATACAATACAATAAAGCCAACTCATCCTTCTTGTGGTCGCTTCTACATGCTCCCAAAAATTCATAAAGCCGGCAACCCAGGTCGACCAATCGTGTCAGTATCAGGTACAATAACTGAACCGATATCGGGATACTTAGACAGTTTAATCAAGCACATACCCTTAACTTTCGACTCTTATATCAAGGATACCACCCATTTTTTTTAGAGAAATTTCTGATTTGCCTGTACCGGAGGGGTCGTATCTCGTCACCCTAGATGTATCATCTCTCTACACCAATATCCCACATGACGACGGAATAGCCTCTCTAATTGAAATGTACGAACCACACAGACAAGTAGACACCCCTGATAGTCACGTCGTTGCCGAATTCCGGAGAAAAGCTCACCGGAGAAAAGCTCACCGGAGAAAAGCTCACCGGAGATAAGCTCACCGGAGAAAAGCTCACCGCAAAACCGGCGGATACGGAGAAAAGCTCACCGGCCATTGAGCGTATGCGGAGAAAATTTGCTCACCGATATTTTTTCTTCTTTTTATATGGAGGCTGTTGGATCGAGCGTAACATATATCAATTTATTATCATTAAAATTTGTCAGCTTTGTAAAAAATAAAATGTCCTCTTTTGTGATATTTGTTAAGCTTATTGGGTATATTGCTCCCAAGTTAATAATTGCGGGAGAGTGTTTTTTGCAGACTTTTTATGCAACGAAAGCCTAACTAAAATCTCTATGAACTTAAAAACAGGAAAAAGTAAAAAAAAAAAAAAAACGTATTGATGATTGCCTAAAACCTAAAAATCAAAGGTGTAAATGCCGAAAATCCAAAAGTGCATGCGCAACAACGCGGTGCCTGAAATTCTCTTTGAAGCTTTTGTTAACATTTGAAAGCAGGATAAAGCTGTCAATAGGATATCGAGGCTTCTTTTTTTCCACGGACATGCACGCTTTCTAGCCGTTCGTGCTTCCACGGACATGCACGCTTTCTAGCCGTTCGTGCTGCATGGTGTTTCCATACGTTCCCTTTGTGTGATAGCGCCTTCTACGGTGAGCCACCCATGACCCTCAGAGCTGCGCGACGTCACCGTTGTTACTCGTGAGCTATATAAGAACTATTTTATTTTGTAAGGTATGTAGCGAATTGGGAGAGTTGGTAAACGTTATACATGATGAAAACCGCTCAAACGACGACGACGGAGTGAAGACAACAAACACGACACGACGAAGCTGTTCTCGCAACTAAAGTTTTGTTGGTGAAATTAACAGAAAGAAAACAACGTAGCCGACACTGATGACATCAACAAACATCTACTTATCTATTAGGCACTACACAATATTTGGACCTCAAGCGATTCACACACTGCTATTCATATTGGCTCGCAAAAAAATAAACCTCTTTATCTGACAGAAGTACCGACGGCGCACCCTCAGCTGTCAATAAATTGTTGCCCTTTTTACCGGTGTACGATGTTCTGATTTTATACTTGCGGCTTCAATAATTTACAGAATGGGTGATTACTAATTTCTGAGGAAATAGTAAATATGCCCAATGAACCTCAAGAATATTACAAAAACGAGGACATATTTTTAATGAGTGACGAAGGCGAATTGTGTTAAATTGCCAAGTTTGACGCAGAATCAAGCTAAGCTAAGAAAATATCGGTGAGCTTTTCTCCGCATCTGCCGGTTTTGCGGTGAGCTTTTCTCCGGTGAGCTTTTCTCCGGTGAGCTTTTCTCCGCCGCCCGTCGTTGCCACCCTCACGCACCTAGTCTTAGAACTGAACTCATTTGAATTTGACAAAGAATATTATAGGCAGATTCACGGCACTGCGATGGGTACTAAGATGGTACCTAATTATGCCAACATATTTATGGGCAAACTGGAGACCAAATTCCTCTCTGACCGTTCTTTACGACCACTGATCTACAAAAGGTTTATGGATGATATTTTTCTTATTTGGCCGCACACAGAAGAGGAGCTGCTAGAGTTTATAAATCAGTACATTACTGCACATCCAACCATCCGCTTCACTCACACGTATTCACAGACCAGTATCAACTTCTTGGATACCACTGTAATATTAGAAAAAGGCAAGCTTACAACTAATCTTTATCGTAAGCCAACGGATCGGCAAAAATACCTCCACTACGAAAGTGACGGTTGTAGCACGATTCCCCCGGTGGCAGTTCCCCCGTTCCAAATGCCCCGTGCCATTTCCCCCGAGTGTCAAAATCCCCGTTGTCAAATTCCCCGTCTTGCCTGCCCCGAGCGCCAGCACCCCCGTATCCAATTCCCCCATATTGTAACTTTTGTGTGCCTCTCTATCCAATGGCAATCAGTTGATCGAACGACGTTTCATCGACGTATCGTTTCATCAAAAGTTTATTACACCGACAGCTCGAATTAGCTTCCTTTTGTAATAAGTCGCCTGTGTCTGTCGCCGCGAGGCGGCGTGGACGGGTGGTCCGCCTGGATTAACATGGGTTTCTGTGATGCACGTGCGACGAAGCTAGTTTTTTCACGAAACATGGTGTCGATGAAACGATACGGACGCCCGTTGATCACCTCCGATGTTCTTTGAAACCAACGCACGCTGTTATTCCGTGATCCTGTGTCAGTTCAGTGCTTGACAATATTGAAAATTATGGGAGATTTATTAACATGTTAATGTATACAGTTTTGTTGAAGCAATGTCCATTACTTAGATACCGCAATATCGCTGCACGAGCCTCAGGAACTCTTGAATGTTGAGCTCTCCATTGGACAGACGCTGCTCGAGCTTCCTGATGGCCTCGTCCTTCATCTCCCTCTTCTTTTGTCGCTTTCGGGCTTGGCCGCCGTTGGATACCTGGAGGAGGGTGACTCTGCTAGTGGCCTCGTCCCGCTTGATGTGCTCCACGAAAGTGTAGACATTGGGGTGCGCTTTCCCGATGGCGTTGTTAATTTTTCTGTAAATAAAAAGCACAAGGATTACAACTCCTGGTAAATAAGCATTCTCATTTTTCGATAGCAAATTTATACCATACTGAAAAATGAACTGACCGGTGCCAGGCCTCCTTTAGGTTGTTTGTCCGGGCTCCGCTGTTTTGGTGATGGTTCCACTGCTGGGTGTCGTAGTTTCCTAAGAGCCAAGTATCCTCGAAGTACAGGATAACTTGTGGGACTCCAAGGGCTGGTGGTGCAGTTGCCTTCAAACCCCGCCAAGCAATACGTACGAACGCTGGCGGGACAAAGGCCAAACTGATTGTCTGGCGTACAAACGTCGTTACCGAAGAGTCTTCCTGGTAAGCCTTGGCAAGTCCGAGTTCTTGAACCTTCCTCCAGATTGCTTGAGCGAAGTGAAAATGGCAACCCTGGTGCCGGATTCCAGGAAAAACGAAAAGAAAAGCCTGGATAAGGGCCAGTTCAAAGTCCGTACGGACAACGCTGAGTGACAGAGGTGCACGAAGAGCGTCCAACGCCGTCTTGAAGTTCGTGAAGGCCGACACATATACGCTCCGTGCGGCAACTATAGGGGGCGCTTTGAAAAACGCGCGTAGCACCGCTAGCGGAGGAGCTGGCGTTCGACAGTGAGGCGCGTTCGGCAGCCTGCGGCGCCTTTTCGCATGCCAACCTGTGGCGGCGGAAGCGCGCACGGACGAACTTTTGCTTTTTGAGCCGATACTTTGAAGGTGACGTTGCATGAGTGCTGGGGCAGACCTAAGAAGGGCATTTAGCTGTTCTCCACTTCTTATATATTGAGTTTGAGTCGTTATTAGGGGTAATTTCTCTAGTTGCGGCCGAAAAAGGAGTTGGAGCAATGTTCCGAAAAGCGAGACGGCTGCCACGATAATCGCTTTGAGTGGGAAATTCATTTCGCTCGACGCTGTAAACGTAAGATTGCTGGAACGATGATATTTGGAGGCGAGTGAGATGCTCACCAAGTTTGTGCACGAAGTGTGACGAGTTTCATTAAGACAGCAGGTGTGAAAGTTATGTTTCTCACGAATAAAGAAATAAAGCTTCTGGGTCCAATATTGGACCCAAAAGGTTGTGTTATAACCGGGCTATGCGAAGTGCAGATTTGGGCTCATAGGTGCTTGGACTTGACAGTAACATGACACAGCACTTATCATACCAAAAATAGGTGGCATAGGGAAACCAGGTGGAAATTAGGTTTGGGCGGCGTAACTCAATGGGAGCCGGTTTTGACCATGAAAGGGCTGTCAAGAGAATACCACTCGTCGTGGGAGGTGGAGACTTTACAGGTAGGAAGAGACTAGTGAACTGCACTTACAATTGAAACAACTTTACTAAAGGTGGTTCCAAGCCGAGAAAACAAAGTTGTCGGTCAACACATGGCTTGGGGCTTTTGCAGTCAGCTGCTCTGTAGTAACCTGTTGTGCGAGGTGATGATTTTTGGCACACAGGTACTTTGACATGACCGTAACTTGACACAACACTTATTATACCAAAAAAGGGGTGGCACAGCGAAACCAGGTGGAAATTTAGTTTGGGCGGCGTAACTAAATGAGAACCGGTTTGGAGCTTCAAAGGCTGTCAAGAGAATACCACTCATCGCGTGAGGTGCACACTTTAGAGGTAGAAAGGGACCAGTGGATTGTACGCCCAGATCGAACAACTTTGCGATAGGTGGCTGTAAAGCCAAGTATAAAAATTGTTGTCTACAAGACTCGGGGTGTCAGCGTTTCCACATTAAAAGGACGCTGATCAAAAAAGAAAGCACATACACCACATAAACTTCCATACTCAAACGTCGATTGTCCAGTAATTCCAAGTTTCATTGTAGTTTTCCTTAGATTCATATTTGTAATTTTTTTACCGACCAAATATTTCTTCATGAAGTACAGAGTGCGTGCCATACTGGTCCGGAAATATTATGATCACGTACGATGGGGACGAAACACCTGTGGAGGGCATTCCTCCAACGAAATTGGCACTGCATACTCGCGAGTGTGGGATGGCATTTCAGTTCGTCCCATCGGCGCTAACACATGTAGGTGTTACTGGTACGAAAACAAACGCAGAGCGCAAAGCGGCAGAGCAGAATATGTCAGCCGTGCCGACACAGTGGCAGACATGATGGGGAGACCAAATTTCTCGCGTCGTACGGCACGGGTCCATTGTTGCCGCTGTCCCACAAAACATCGGCGAGGTGAAAAACTGTGAAACTTTGGCCCCACGAGATAAGACGCAAAACTATTGAAGTACTTAAAGGGAAGATGGGGCACTTCTACATTTGAGAAAAAACACATGATTTGCGTTAATTTGGCCTTTAGAATAACAGATATGAAAATTATATTTCAATGCGACGCGCCGGAGAGCCACAAAATCAATTTCAAAATAGGGCTGAAGCCCCGCCTCCCTAGCCTTGGGCAGCCAAAAGAGCCGTCGATGACGTCACGGACAGCGACTGTCTTTCGCGTTTTTCTCGCGTTTAATAATACTTACGCAGCAAATGGTTTGGGTATTCGGGTTCACGTGGTGAAAATACACTAGAATTCACTTCTAACTCATTTTTTCCAAGAAGCTCCGTAGCTTCCCTTTAACGACGCAGCACCGGCAGCACTTCATTCTGTGAACCCAGGGCAACCGCACCGCTCCGACTTCAATGCATGCCAACGTACGCGGCGTGGTTTCGGTTTCGTTTTCTCTGGCATTCTCACTGTCTACCTTCGGTAACGGCCGCGCGGCGGCGCGCCAGACGCGTCGCACGGAGGGCATACTTCTCGAGACTTCCCACGTAGAAGAAAGTAGGCGATGTTGAAGCTCAAACCCTCTTTGACGGCGCTTATTGTGACCAGTTGATAAAACAATGACGGGCAGGAGAAAAACGTGCCATCGATGAACACTTCAAATATTTCCGAAAAATGAGAAAGCAGCTCCTGCGTGCAAAAGCAAAGAACACGGCCTGCACTTATGCTGACGTCGAACAGCAGGAAGTCTCGCTTGTCGAGTGTCTCCGAATGTAGTCTTCCAAGGTTAATCTCGGCCATGTCCCTTGGTAGGCTCGGTTGCTGTTTTCTCTTCTCCCTGTACATGGTGCTCCTCACGCTCTCAAAAGTCGGCAGCTCAGCCATCACCGTGTCGTCAACCTAGAACAAATTGGTCCCGTCACAAACAAGGTTCAATCGCGGACACCATGAACACGTATACGCGTGTAATAAAACATAGTATGTAAAGACGAGACAATGTTTTTGCTTACTTGACCCACAAGGCTCAAGATCTCTCTGCTGTACACTTGCGGTGCTGGCAAATGCGGCTCCGACCTAACGCTTTGCGTCAATGCATTCTTCAGTCGCGCTTCCCGAAGTTGGCTGCTATCAGGTGGATGGCTGTGCTCTGAAACACATCGACGTGATGGTGATGAAACGCCGCAGCAGATTTTAGCCTCATTCATTGAGTGCCCTTCAAGCTGAACAGCAATCTGAGAGTTTGCGAAAGTAAAAAAAAAAGTCATTAGCTCACCCTGTGTTGTCTTGACGACTTTTCCGTGCTTCGTGAGAACTGCTGCTTTGCAGGTATTTGTCCAGTATTTAGCACATTTCCAGGCAGTTTTCTCATCTTGGTTCTTCCGCTGAAAGCAATACTTAAATTCGTCTAGTATTAAGGCCTCTTTCCCTTTTTCCGTTTTCAAAAATTCGACCTCCATCTCCTGCATTTCAACCTCGTCTGGGAAGCATCCAATGTTGAAAGTTCCTTAAATAGAACTCACCTGGGTCGCGTTCGAGGTTTCTTTGTTCTTGTTGACCCTCGGTATGCACTTTTTCTTTCGTCCCGTAACGAGAATTGGGGGCAGAGGACGGGGGAACTGATAAGGGGATGGGGGCACGGGGTTTTTTGGAACCCGGGGGAAATGAGGTCAGGGGAGATAACGCGGGGAATTTGCTGCGGGGATATTGACACGGGGGAATCGGGATTGGGTTATTTCGTGCACCACCCAAAGTGACCATCCCCGTCATTGTAAGAATAGTATACCCTACAGCCAGGCCCACCGCTTCAAACGTGTATGCTCACGGCAAGAGGACTTTCAATCGAGCTCTGATCACCTAAGGAACGCACTGGAAAAACAAAAATATCCTATGCGGGTCATTAACGACGCAATTCAAAAAGCCGCCCAACTAAACCGCGCTGACCTTCTTGAGGACCGCCCTCCTCAGCGCAACGAGCAGCACACGAATTTATGTCTAACTTATAGTGTGAATTTCCCTAACGTAAATAATATTTTAAGTCAACATTACAACATTTTAGAACAAAGCGAACGCCTCAAACGTGCATTCCCATCAGCTCTCGGGGTAATTTATACACGTTCACGCAACCTTAGAGACAGCCTAGTTAAAGGGCAACTCCGGCCAAAACTCAAAATGAATTAAATTACTGGTATCGCTTTAGTGACACAAAATACGACCCCAGCCAAAATTTCACGTCCGTGGGACGCCGCATTCTCAACTAATGCCGATAATAAAAACGCGACCCGCCGCGAGCCGCTGCTCCTTAGCGGGCGGCCAGCGGGTTGCCGATCGGTAAAGCAACATTGGGCCGTGATGTCAACATCGTTCTCTTTTTTTCCTCCGTTCCGGGCGGGAGCACGGCGCAGCCGTCGCGCGCGCTTCTTTGTGCCGCTACCACCGCTACTTCGGCTTGTAATTGCGTGTTTAGCCGTTGCTTTTACCTGTAGCCCGTGTAGCTTCGGTATAGACTTTTGTTTATTTGCTTGTGAGGTCTCCTAGACTCGTTTTAGCGAGCAACTCGTTGCGCCCAAGACTGCCCAGCTGTTCCTCGAAAGATGCCGAGTACAACTTAAAGCGCTGTGGGCTGCTCAAACAAGCCGCTGCGCAACCCGGAGGTGCTTTTTCACAAGTTTCCAACGGATTGGAAATTGGAGAAGGTGTGGGTGAACGCTGTTCGACGAGTGGACTTTGGAAAGCCTTGGACGTCGACACCCAGGTCGAAGCTCTGCTCCGATCATTTTTCGCCGGAGAGTTACGAACGAAACCTACGGGTGTTGGTTGCTTGTGGCTTGTCAGCGAAGGGGTCGAGGCTTAAAAAGGATGCCGTGCCGTCGCTCTTTGCACATCGTACATGTACAGAAAACGTGAACATGATAAAAGTATCCTGATCAATAAATAAAACAGTCATTGTCAAGTGCAGTGTTGAAGATTGAGTATTCATGCTCCATTGAATGTCTGTTGAATGGGGAATGGTGGGCATGTAGAGTACAACCACTAACTAGCTCCAAACACCGAAGTTTGTAATTAAAACGAAAATAATGTTCTGCTTTGCGTCACTGCTTGTTTACTACGCAATCTCTAGTATTCAGGTCCGTAACGACTACTAGCGAACAGCCGGCGCGTGAAGCTCATGCGATATAAACATTCGCCTCCCAATCGTTCCAACCCGTTACGCAGCAGTATTAATTAACATTGCGCTTGTGAATACCACAAGGGACTTTAAAGAAATCGCGAAAGTTCGGATTTGTAAGTTACAACT